TAAACAAGAAAGGAACTCAGGACCAACAAATAAAAATGCCTTAAATAACAAATATCTCTGCAAGTAACTGTTTCTAATCCCAACCTCTGCCTTCAAACTACTAAAACAAAAATAGACTTGAGCGATAGACGTACAGTTTACTCCCATTTTTAAAAATTCTAATTCTTAGTTGTCTGAATTGCAGTGAAAATAGGTAGCATGAATGAAATAAGGGTGTGGTCAATCCAGAAAGAACACTATCAAACTGGAGCCAGGTTGGCTCCTAAAATGGACAACACAGCACAGACGTAAGCAAACTCACCTAGATTGTCAGAGCTCAGGTTTACCATCCTCCATATACTCCAACACTCACTGTGTTTCAAGGCATGCTTTTGCTTAAAAGTATCTCCAGACTATTCCTTAGTATGTTTTGAACTCCATGTAACTAAACAGGTTTTCTGGGCAACTCAAGAGGTTTTACTGCAATGGCTACAATTAGCTCCAGGAAAGTATCTAGCCAGTTGCATTTGTACATATTCGCCACTGTTTTTCTTGATGTGAAGCTTCTGCCTGGGCATGGTGGTTTCCTGAAATGATCTTGATGAAAAAATAACTTAGATACAGTTTGCCAATTTAATCAACTCCTCCTGTTTACAGACCAGAGTTGCTATTCTCCCTTAAGTCCAACTATGATTCCTTCAAGGAATATAAAGTCTAAATAAGTAAGTGTTCTAACTCTACTGTACTGTGAGGAAGCTAAAAGTAAACGACTGCTACTAAAAAGCATATGACCTGGGTTCTAGTCCCTGGTACTTAACTGTGTCATTACGTAACTGGTCATTATGCCTCCTTGCATCCTGTGAATGAGCGAGTTGGACAGTAAGTGCTTAAAAGTCCCTCCCCGCCAAGAAGTTTTAATTCATAATTTAAACTGTGGCTGTTTTCTATTCCATATTACATGGTAGAACAGTAGATGTAGACACAGGTTCCATACTAATGACAGTAGCACTTTTAATTTCCCTATTAAAACTATTGCATGACATGGGGTCATATCAAATTGAACTGGCATTTCCTCATGTTCCATCTGCTACGAAAATGTACTCTTTGTAGTTCAGGCAACAGGGTGGTCAGAGAACAACAGATTTTGTTGGCACTTCCTGTACATGTGGCATGTAGATGAGTATGAGATAATTCCTAGGAAAATACTGCAAATAATAGCTGTCAACTCTCAGCAACTCACAACAAGCATTATTAGAAGCAAACGCAGTGTCCCATCCATGTGTCCCACTTCACAAAATGTTACCTTTCGATACTTTGGGATCCTATATATGAACCAGTATTTTTTATATGTGCTCTACAGTATTTTTGCCGCAGAATTTTAAATTTACATAGATCACTAAAACCCATAGATAACCCCAAATCTGTCAGCCACTTGTTAACAATCTTTTTCATTGCTAAGCTTTTTGCCAGAGATGCTAACAAGTAGCCTAGTTAAATGGTTTGCATTTCATGTACTTTTCCAGACAACCAGACAAACTTGCTTTTTAAGGGCCCACACAAACAAGAGATCAATTTCTCTGGATTCTAAATCTTTGGGAAGTTGACCAACATGCATGAAATGGTCAGTTGTTTCCTTCCTAGCTAACACACTCCTCTTAAATTATTGCTTGTGGTCCTTTTGTCCCTGATTTAAACCTACTTATTCTTAACTACTTGTGTAATTCCCAGTTCTCCTCTCTCTGTGCTATCTTTTTAAGAACGTGGTTTTATTATTTTTATGTATCCTCTATTTGCATTACATTTTAATTCCCTGAGAACTCAAACAACACAGTGTTTGTGAATTCATTATGAAAAAAAAAATAAAAGCAAAGATAATTCTTCCAAAACAAGGCAGCCAAGAGAAAATGCAAAAAAAGCTTGAAAATTTTACTAGGTGATTAATATGAACTGACATGACATCTTCAATTAGACTCAAAGACCTTGGGATTGTGAGAATCCAAACTCCTTCTCTTACAGGCAAGAAAACCAAAACTCAGAGAAAAGCTAAGTGACTTACCCAATATGATATATCTAACTGGATACATTTATGGTACACATAAAATGACACATTATCACCTCCAATAGTTCTTTTCACAGTTGAAAACAGCTCCATGAAGTCTGTTCCCAAAACATGTGCAGACAGCCACAGATGCAAAATCCCACATCTGGAGTCATTCCTTTAGAATACAGCGGTTCTCAACCTGTGGGTCACGATCCACAGGTTGAGAACCGCTGCCCTACGCCCAAGTCACCCAGAGCGTCCAATATCTGTGGCTTTATTCATTGGAACAGACATATATCTTCTCCTAATGAGGCCAACTCAGTCAGGTTTCCCTTCGGCAATAGAAGAGGCCCCATTTCTTTTGCATATCATCAGATGAAATAGCTGGCTATAATTAAAAGAGTTGGTTGTTCTAAAAACACATATCGTTAAACACTGATCTAGCACTCTGCTGAGGTAAGACTGAACTCAGCCTTAAAGAGGGACTCAGGAAGTGAAACAGAAAACGGGAGTCCTGACTCTCATGCTATCCTTACTCAGGAACCTACTCTCACTGCATAGAACAGCTGGCCTCATGCACTATTTAAACATCATTTCTCTCCCATTCTCTTCTTCATTTTGCCTACAAGCACAGGTGAATTTGTGCCATTAAATGTGTGTAAGATCTGACTTCACTATATTACACTAGTCCCACATTTCCATATGGATATAATGATCTGGGCTAGACATGGGATGTGTAAGTATTGCAGGAGAGGTAACTAAAGTCTGGAAAAAGGCCCTGATGAGTGGGCAGGTCAAATGTAGTCAAGAATCATAAAGGAGCGGCCAGTTAGCTCAGTTGGTTAGCATGCAGTGTTCACAACACCAAGGTTGCTGGTTCAATCCCCACATGGGCCACTGAGTTGCACCATCCACAACTAGATTGAAACAACTACCTGACTTGGAGCTGATGGGTCCTGGAAAAACACACTATTCCCCAATTTTTTTAAATGTATTTATTTTTTTTAAATCACAGAACACAGAGTGTGTATAAGCGCAGAGGGCTGAAGGGAATAGAGAAAAGATCACTTTCTATGGGACAGAACTTGTTCCAAAAACCACCTTCACCATGTTCATAATTTTTTCTTGCATTGAATTTGATATACACATTTTACACATTGCAACACACCCCATTTGACTGAGTTTTAATCAATGTAGGGGGAGGTCTATACTCTCAAGCATATAAGTAACCATTTAACTATAGAATTTATACTGAGAGAAATTAATCATGAGAATATTTTTCAGATAAGGACTTGATCACAGACAAATGACCTTAGAGCAGAAATAACTAAACCAACTGTCACCCCAATAAACTTTAATTAAAATAAAATAAGTAAATAACTCAACCAATACTAGGAAGTATGTTCAGCCAGCCAGTGCTCCAGGCAGCAGGAAAGCCAGGCTGCCACCCGTGGAAGACCTGCCACAAAGAGCCACGTGGAAAAAACGGCACGGAGGAATGGTGCTCATGAACACGCGTTCTACCTTAGAACGAAAGGTGTTAAGCTGTGGTGGGCTCATTAAGAAAAGAAAGGTTATGCTCAATAGAAAGTTTACTCATCTCTGAAGAAATAATTACTGCTCTAGTAGTAAAACTTCCATGTCAATGGAAGCAGCTCCTATATGTAGAATTAGCTTAACGATGAGCAGATAAAAATCTTTCTGAGCCATGTTTAGCCTAGCTCCATTACGGGGATCAGCATAAAGACACCCTGAGTCCCTGGGCTTCCCACACTGTTGTTTGCCCAGCATTGCGATGAGTTGGCCCCGATTCACACACCCAGGTGACACGAGGTTTCCCCCTCCAGGTTCTCTCACAGGACTCCAGGCATTTTCACAACTTGACTACACAAAAGAACACCCAGGCTGCTCCTACCTTCCCCGAGGCAAGTACAGGAATGCCTTTTCTCCATACCCCTTTCATAAGGCTGTATCTGTACAAACACAGGTGTCTACATAGTAATGTTAATGAACTTTGCAATGAATAGTCCAAAGGACAGTAGCTACCACAACATTCCATCCATTGTCTCAACAGAGAAAGCTACCCATGAGACCACAAAAGAGGAGGGGAAAAAAATTACATATATATATATATATAATATATATATATATATATGTTTATGAGACACTTCAACAGCAACACGAAATACTTGTACTGGAGAGAAAATATATTGTTTAAACCACAAAGCACGTTAAGTAAAAACAATTAATCAATCTTAATTAGGTTCCTTCATTAGTTGACAATGTAAATGGACTGAAACTACTGCTGAAATATTCAAACCTTCATTTTACACGCAGTGGCTTCCAGCAAATGATAAGGCAATATTCCGGTGTGAGTGGGGAAGATGGCACTAAATTCTGGCCCATTATAAGGGAAGAGTCAGATTCCATGAGTCCCTGTGCTTGGTTTAACTGCCAGGCTTCTTGGGAGCTGTTTTCTAAAAGGGGGCCTCGCCCTAATAAATTAAGAGTGAACAGTGTAAATGTCAAAACTGCCTGCACTCAATGAAGCTCTAGATCACACGGTGTCCAGACTTCAGAGAAATGACTCCTTAAAAAATTATATTGTGACAATGGTATTATTTTAAAAGAATAATGAGGATAATGATGATGATAACTGGGCAGGAACCACTGCTGCTGCCTGCCGCCCACGTAAGTTGCCCAGCTGAAGGTGGTTAAGTTAAAGCTAGGTCTCTCCCTTTTGAAGGTGCGCTGGTAGCCAGGGAGAGCCAGCCACCCAGTTTCCAGCTCCCTGTGGGTTTGCTGGGACTAGGACTGGAACTGGAATTGTCTCGTACGAAGCCCCGGGTGGCTCAGCCAGGCGCTCGAACTGTCCCTCGCAACCTCCCTCCAACGCAGATCTCAAGTTAGAAATGCAACTCCCCGAGCACAATGACAAGAAAGCACACAAAAGGAGCAAGGCGGCCGCTCCCATCCTTACCTTTGACTTGACTTTCATACTCGGCTATGATCTCTTTGTCCTTTTTGAATCTGCTCGGAGTGGACATTATCCAGCTGTTCTGGGTTTGCTTCCAATGAGGCAAGTTAGGTTATTAGGGGGTTGCAAACCAGTCTCCTTGGAGAGGCAGAGAGTTGTACTCCCACACGCCGGGAACCCCGAGGCAGCACCGGCAGGAGGTCAAGGAGGAGCGAGAGGAAGAAAACAGGAGCGAGCGGAGGACTAGATTAACCCGGGCGCTGGCACCATACTCTCCGGATCCAGCTGCCGTCGGTGATCCGGAGGGGGAGCCCGGGACTCGGGGCCGAAGAGGCCCGGCGCGCAGGCAAACTCCAGCGAGCGAGTGGCGGGGGGCGTCTCCCTGCCCACCCCACCCGGAGCAGGGCCACTTCCTCTACGATCGCTGGGCGGACGCGGGGTTCGCGCCGGCGCTTCGCACCATTGTTAGAAACCCGCACCCGGCGCTCGGGGCAGGGCCAGCGGCGGAGGGCGGGCGCCTAGGAACGCGCCCCCCGCGGGCGCCGCGACCTTCCCCTCCTGCTCCAGCCGCCGGCGCCGGCGCTCAGGGGTCCCGCCCGGGCTAGGATGCTGCTGCTGCCGCCGCCGCCGCTGCTCTTCCGTCGGCAAAGGCTGCTGCCGCCACCGGGGCAGGCAGAAGGAATCGCAGCCCTAAAGCCGATCCCGCTGCCGACGGGAGGGCGGCTGCTGCGCCGATCGGACGCGTCCTGGGCGCAGCCCCGCTGGAGTTGAGATCTCCCGAGCCGGCTCCGCGAGGGGCCTCTGCCTCCTGGGCCACCGGACGCCCAGGCTACCTTTCTCCTCGTCCCCCTTTCCGCTGCTGCCCTCAGGAGGCCTTCGGTGACACGCACACTCGCACTCGCACCAGGAGGAGCCGCGCCCCCAGCGGCCGCAAAGTTGCCGGCGCGCCCACGGCCCGCGCCTCCCGGTGCCCAACACACGAGATGCGGGCGGCGGCGGCCGAGCGGGCTGCACGGCGCTCGGCGAGGTGGGGCAGGGCTCCCTAGGGGGGGACGGCGCAGTCGCCCGTGCCCTTCTCCGCCCCCGCCCCCGCCCCGCTGGGTGAGGAAACGCCGGGCTGGTCCGGGAAGATGGATGCCTCTGGTGGCCAAGCGCAGCCCCGCCCCGCGCGCTCCGCCGGGCAGCCGTGGGCGACGCCCCCCGCCCCTCCCTGGGCTGTGCTCCCCTCCGCGCGGGCGGGGATCGCAGCCCCAGCAGCTGGGAAGCCCCTTCCCGACCAGAGGGATCCTCCTTGACCGAGGGTGGGAGTTCTGGACTCCATTGGTCAAGTCCAGAGTTGGATGTCTCCATTACAGAAAGGGATGTGACTTGGAGATGTTGGACCCCAGGAGGAAAACTGGAGCCTAAATTGTGAACGACTTGGCTGTTAAAAATCAAAGGAGGGCGAAACTCATGAATGCAGGCGGAGAAAACACCCAGCATGAACGCAGTATTCTCCCCATCCTAGAAGTAGCTCGGGGAGCTAGGATGGTGAGAAAGGTGGGGTGTGGGAACAGGTCACACTTAGGAGGTCACTAGCTTTTTGACGGGCAGCTTTACCACTTGGGACCTTCCCTGGCTCCTTTCAAATCACTTCTCAAATATTATGGGCCTGACTTATCAAAGTGTCTAAAGGCGTGTCCAGTATAAAAATGTTTTCCCTGCCAGATCTAAAGAGAGGAGGGAATTTTAGACTTTGATCATTCATTCATATATCTAGTGATAAACTTTCAAGTTCTTAGAGCGGGCCGAAAAACACCAAGCTAAGAGTTAGGAATTCAATGATTAGGACCCTGCCCTAAAGGATCCCACCATATGTTGTTGTATAAGTAAATAATTACAGGCCGTACCATAATGATATAAGGGATAACTATTCCTGGTTTGGGGAGCCCTGAGGAAGGAAAAATGGACGGAGTAAGAGATTTAGGGAGAAAAGCTTTTTAGAAAAATAGTATTTGAACTGGGTTTAAAGGATGAATAATAAGTAGTTTGTCACCTCGGAGAGGTAAAGGGTTGCATTCCAGGGGAAAAAGAGGACATCATACTCGGGCAATTGCAAATGGAGCTCCAAGATGTTGTCCACTAAAATACCAGATCTCTGATAGGAGGGGGAAAATGTTAGAATTTTAAATGTATATACGAGTACGTTTCAACTGATTGTGTGTGCACGTTGTTTTAAATTTGTACAGCTTTGGGGGCCGACCAAGTCCCTCATTTGGTTAAGAACTCACTCGAGTGTCAGCTCTGAGCAACAGGGTCTCCAGTTTGATTCCGGAGCTGAGCTGCCGCTGAGCTGCCAACCCGTGGCAGGATGGCTCAGCTTAAAAAAAAAATTGTACAGCATTTTAAATTTTAATTTGTTTTAGCAAATCTTTTTACTTTACAACAATAGAACATAAGGGGAATTTTTTTTTCTTTAAAGTTTTTCTCCATTTTGCCACACAGGAGGTTAACTATGCAACCCCTGATTGCCCTAATTTCATGTGAAACTATTTTATGTAAGAGTGTAGGGTGAAGAGCCAGAATATCCAAAGTGGAGGCTGGGGAGGAAGGTCAGGGCCAACTGGGAG